TCACAAAAGAGGACGTAAATCAAATACCAGAAATGTTGGAAAATGCAAGATTCAGTGAGAGGGAAGAATTGAGGGAGATCAATATTAGAAGAGAAATGGTGCTAGGAAAATTGATGGGATTGAAGGTAGATAAATCCCCAGGGCCTGATAATCTACATCCCAGAGTACTCAAGGAAGTGGATCTAGAAATAGTTGATGCATTGGTGGGCATCTTCCAGGATTCTACAGACTCTGAAACAGTCCCTGCAGATTGGAGCGTAGCTAATGTAACTCCAATATTCAAAAAGAGAGTTAGAGAGAAAACAGGGAATTGTAGACCAATAAGCCTAACATTGGTAATGGGGAAAATTCTCAAATCCATTATCAAAGACTTTATATTGGAGCATTTAGAATGCTGTGGCAGGATCAGACAGATTCAGCATAGATTTATGAAGGGAAAATCATGCTTGACAAATCTGTTGGAATGCTATGAAGATATAACTAGTAGAGTTGACAAGGGGAAGCCAGTCAATGTAGTGTATTTGGACTTTCAGAAAGCGTTTGACCAAGTCCCGCATAAGAGATTATTGCGCAAGATTAAAGCGCATAGGATTGAGGGAAGTGTATTGAGATGGATAGAAAACTGATTGACAGAGGAAACAAAGAGTAAGAATTAATGGGTCCTTTTCAAATTGGCAGTCAGTAACCAGTGGGGTGCCACAGGAATTGGTGCTGGGACCCCAGCTATTCACAATATACACTAATGATTTGGATAAGGGAACAAAATGTAACATCTCCAAGTTTGCAGATGATACCAAGTTGGGTGGGAGAGTGAACTATGACGAGGATGCAGAGATCCTTCAGCATGGTCTGGACAGGTTGGGTGAGGGGCAAATCAATAGCAGATGCAGTATAATTTGGATAAATGTGGAGTTATTCACTTTGGAAGCAAAAACAAGAAGGGAGATTACTACCTGAATGGCTGTAAGTTGGGAGAGGGGAGCGTGCAGCGGGACCTGGGTGTCCTTGTGCACCAGCCGCAGAAGGTAAGCATGCAGGTGCAGCAGGCAGTAAAGAAGGCAAATGGCATGTTGGCCTTCATTGCAAAAGGTTTTGAGTATGGAAGCAATTATACAGGGTCTTGATGAAACCACATCTAGAATATTTGTGTGCAGTTTTGGTCTCCTTTTCTGAGGAGGGATGCCCTTGCTCTTGGGAGTGCAGCAAAAGTTTACCAGGCTGATCCTGGGGATGGCGGGACTGACATATGAGGAGGGATTGACTAGCTTAGGATTGTTTTCACTGGAGTTCAGACGAATGAGGGGGGATCTCGTAGAGACTTATAAAATTCTAACAGGACTAGACCAGGTACATGCAGGGAGGATGTTCCTAATGGTGGGTGTGTCCAGAACCAGTCTGAGGATTTGGGGTAGACCATTTAGGGTGGAGATGAGGAGACATTTCTTCACCCAAAGCGTGGTGAGCCTGTGGAATTCATTACCACAGGAAGTAGTTGATGCCAAAACATTGAATGTATTCAAGGGGTGGCTAGATATAGCACTTGGGGTGAATGGGATCAAAGGTTATGGGAAGAAAGCAGGATTAGGCTATTGAGTTGGACAATCAGCCATGATCGTGATGAATGGTGGAGCAGGCTCGAAGGGCCGAATGGCCGCCTCCTGCTCCTATCTTCTAAATTTCTATACATAGAAACAAATATACCATGTTGCTTATTTGTGTGATAGACAAAATGTCTTTTTGGCTTGACAGCAACATTCTTGTGAATGGCAAGCGTATCATACAGCATATCTCTTTGGCTGTTCACAACAATCAAGGTATTGACCATATCAAACCAGCCTCCTCCTACAAACTTACCATTGACCAACCAAAGATGTGGTTCTGCAATTGGACAACATTTGTTAAGTAACATTAACCGTGTAAAGAATTATGCTGATGATCAGTTTAAGATTTAGGCTTGCAGTGTGGCCCATTTGCATGAATTAGAAGCTAGGTACACTAATACACAGAGGTATATTCTTTGCAGATGTAAAAAAACATGCTTACACAGCATCTGGTTCAATTCAACAAGATTGGAGTCCACTTGTAAACCAATCAGCACTGTGCTCTCATGAAGTATAAATGTTGTTTTCCCATTGCGTCCTCACATCTTATGAAATATCTTGATAAATGCATGGTGAATGGTTTCAACAAATTGTCCTTTTTCAGCAATACTGAAGTTCTGCCATACTAAATGACTATTTTAACAAACTATTAAACACAAAATATTAACTTCTCATTATCAACCTTGACTATCCTGATGTGTATTACTGTTTAATGTTAACTACAAGTGTATGTCTTATTTTTAAATGCTCAGTCTGACATTTTAATATCCTTGGTCTGAGTATAACATACTGCCTGACACTCTGGAGAAACCTCTTTTGCTATCCTTGGCCATCTCTTCGTCAAGGAACTGAATATATATTTTGAATTAAAACAAAGTTGCTGAAAAAGCGCAGCAGGTCTGGCAGCATCTGTGAAGGAAAAAACAGTGTTAACGTTTCGGGTCCGGTGACCCTTCCTCAGAAC